CCTAAGAAACTAGTTAATAACTTTCCTAATCAACTAATTAAGAATAAGGAAATTGCAAACAGCCCCCCTCTACTTGTTTCCTGCCTCTCTTTTGCGTCGCTGATATATCTGACCCCAATGTGGGTCGGGCTGAGACGTATCACAAGAGCTCTAAGTTCAGCCGGCAAAACTTCGAGATACCACGGTTGCTTCTTACTCCTCCAAGTGACTAGGTTTCCCCAAACTTTAGTGCAATACCCAATGGTTGATCTTCCATCTTTGCTTGATCCTACCCGGTCCGCATCTGTGAAGGCTTCAACACCTCGTTCTTCATTCTTTTTAAACAACAGCCCAGTTCCTAGTGTTTTTCTTCAGATATCGCAAGATCCTATACATGGTTTCCAAGTGTTCTTTTAGAAGGTTGTGCATGTATTGACTCACCAAGCTTATGGGGAATGCAATGTTGAGTCTTGTATGAGATAGGTAGATTAGTTTATCCACTAGTCGTTGATACATTCCTTTGTCAACCATCTCCTCTTTTGTTGATTGTTTGTACTTACCTCTCGGTTCAACGGGTGTTGCCACAGGTTTACTCCCACTCATTCCGGTTTCTTTAAGAAGATCAAGAATGTATTTTCTCTACGATACTGCAATGCCTTGTTTTGATCTGGCAACCTCGATTCCTAAAAAGTACTTCATTGGTCCAAGGACCTTTACTTCAAATTCTTGGACTAGCACTCCTTTAAGTTTTTCTTGTTCTCCATAATCATTCCATGTTAGCAACATGTCATCAACATAAAAGATGAGGATTGTAATTTGATCTTCTTGTGAGTGTTTGAAGAATAAGGTGTGATCTGTTGAGCTTGTTTGTATCTATGCCGTTTTATGACTTGATTAAGTCTTTTCAAACCAAGCTCTTGGAGACTGTTTCAGACCATAGAGGGATTTTTTCACGTGACAAACATTATCCCTTCCATATCTTCCTTCGAACCGTGGAGGAATGTTATGTAAACTTCTTCCAAATGCCCATTCAGAAAAGCATTTTTTATGTCTAGTTGTTGTAGGGGCCAATCAAGATTGGCTGCAACTGACAAAAGAGCTGTTACCGTGTTTAGCTTGGCTACAAGAGCAAACGTCTCATTGTAGTCTACACCAAATATCTGAGTGAACCCTTTTGCAACACGTCTTGCTTTATACCGATCAATTGTTCCATCAGATTTGTGTCCAACTGTAAACACCCATTTACACCCCACTACATGTTTATCACCCGGTCGATTGGTGATTGCCAAGATTTGAGCATTAAAACCCTACAGCTTTAAAGAAGCTGCAGTCTCTCCCTATTCAATTGTAGAGAATTGAATTATAATAAATTGATCTATATTCCAAAAAGGTAAACAATGAAGGTATTTAAACTAATAAGTAAAAGACTCCTAGAATAAAACGGATCCTAAAGAAAAACAAATAAAACAATAAAAATAAACATAAGATAGTTATTTGTAAACTTGAGGACTTATGACTTATCCAAAACTTGTTTTATCTTTATCTTATTAATATGTCATCATCTTTTTCCTTCTTGAATGTCTTTATACCCTGAAGTCTATCAGAAGGCTGGAAAAAAAACTCTTAGATTAGTGGTACAACTCTGATACCATGTAGAGAGAATAGGCTTTGAATGAATTATTTATTCAAGGAGTAGATGCCTCTATATAGGCCTTGTACAAATAAGAAAGGATATGGAAAATAAATACCAAATATTCTAGGCTAATTACAAAGATTCTACGACAACCTGTCATTACCCTAATTAGTTCCCTATTCGGGAGAGATATCAATCAATTGCATATACTTTCTACATCTTTTTTATCCTTTTGGAGTACTATTAACAAGGATAGGGGACCATTGTTACAAATTTAGCAGATTAAGGATTTTGTTATGTATATTTAAACAATTGTACAGTTGTACTTCTTTGTCCACTAGCTTTTCGGTAGTTAATTTTATTCCATCCCACATTATTCTTTATGTAGGCTCCACTCTGTTATTATTCTAATTACAATCCTTCGGCACCATGCATGGAATTTTTTTTTTTTTTTTTTGATAAAGCCATGCATGAAATAATGATTGAACTTCTCCATGCAAACATGATAGAAGGTTGCCGGGTTCTACACGATAAAGCATGGAAATAACAAGACCCAATACAGTGAGAATGAAAAACTCACAGGTATTATACCACACCGGACATAGAAATTATCTCTCTAACAATCCTTTTCAAGTTGGAAGATAAATTTCATGCATGACCAATTAACTAAATATAGGATCGATTTGAGTGCCTTAAAGGGCTTCATTTGTCGGATGCACCCAAACCAGAGAGTACCAAATATAGTCTAACTACAATGACAATCCATCTCAATGTGTTTGGGACTCTCTTTAAATAGATTCTTGGTTATGAGCATAGATACCTAATTATTATAATGCAACATCATCAAACAAGAAACCGAATTAACAACTCCTACATCAAACCATGAACGCAAGTCAAATCACAAGTTCCAAGTATCGTGGAAATGCTATACCATGCCTAGCGAATATGAATAGTTCAGTGTTCCAACTAGTCTTCCCAGATGATCAAGGAGCTCAATGTCATCTGCATGAAGCTTTACATTCGGGATAATATAAAATCTACAATGGGACAATTAAGAATTTTAACCTCAGTCAGGATATTAATGGCATTCTTCCACACACATGAGAAGATATCATTGCAGGATCTAGCCACCTCAATCCTTAAGAAAAGCTCGAGGCTCCCAATGTCCTTCACTCAAAACTCCCTCCGAACTAAGAAATTTAGAGTAGCAACATCCTCTGAATCCTCTATAATAATTAAAAAGGGTGTCTGTCCAACAAAGCCATGGTCCTAAGCACGAGGAATCGTAACAAAGTTTTCGAAAGCCTCGTATAGCTAAGACAACTCTATTTATAGGGTAGCACAAGAACTACTACAACAAATCTTGGATATTGTGACATGTCAGCCAATGGGAAGATACAGTCGTTGCTCACCCCCTAAGTCTAACTTGCAGCAAAATAAAGTTTTTGGCGTGAACCTACCTTCTAGAAGAGATAGGAAGAGACACAAATATCAGACATAAATCGTTCCATCTTTGGGGTCAAACAAACAAAGACTTCCTATATTAATTTTCTCAAAATTCCATCTTAGCAGTACTATACTCTATTCTACAACATAAATATTGAAATCATAGTAGACAACTCCCAGAAAGAAAAAGGGAGAGATATCAAATACTCACACCAGTACGCATTTGATTCAGTCCACCATTACTTCTCACAGTGATATAATGATCCCCTTCTTGAAAAGCTGAAAATGTAGATATATTATGGATGAAAAACGAAGTCAGACTTGTGATGACATAGGAGTTCCAAGTGAGGGAGGGAGAGCAATGCATGCATCTTAAAGTCCACAAGATTACAAAATGGGATGATGGGAGATCACAATGACATAAAAACCGGCAGTAGATAGAATAGTTGTTTGTTTAATATATTGGTCTTGCCACACAGGCCATCATAAATAGAATATAGGTATTTAGTCATAAGTAAGGTAACAAACATCACTAGCACAGCAGATCATAAAATGAGAACCAAAGATACCTTGATATCTAGAAGTAGGATTTACACATGAATGTAAACCAGCACTAAAAGGAGCTTCCCAAAGTTTTTCACTTGGCAGCTGCTGCGGAAGCTGAAGCAATGAAACATATATATATCTATCAGGGTATGCCATACTCCCTCCAGTACAAAACATTAGAGCAATTTCAGTGGATGTGTTCTCAGGGGTGTCCCTGGAGGAGCGAAGGACGGGCGCCTGCCCAACTAAGGAAATATTAGGGGCCCAATTTTATAGTATATAATTGTAATCCAAAAATATTTAGTATATAAAACATAAGTAAATTTTTAGTATATAATAAGAGTCAAAAAGAATTAGTAGATAAGGGCCCAAAAATGTATCAACTAATTTCATTGGAGGAGAAAATCAAAAAACAGTTAAATAGCTATTCGTTATATGCTATTGCTCATTGCTTCTCTCACTCTTTTTATCTAGGACCAAGGTTCAATGCTATTGGCTACTGCTATTTGTATCTGGTTGATATTTTTCCGTGCTTCAACAATTCAACCGATCACAACTTTAAGCTCAGTGCTTGCTATTGCTATTTGTTTCTGCCCGCTGCTTTTATCTAATTCTGTTTCTATTGGCTTTGCTATTTGCTTATATTGTGAAACTCGTCTATATTTTAGGATTTCAAAACTATGCTTGTTTTTTCATACATTTTTTACTGCTAATTAGCTAAATAAGGAGTATCTGTGAATCTTAAGTACTCTTTTATCTATAATAAACATGAATAAGATTTATTTCCTCCATGAATTATTAGCATTTCTTATATTCAATTGCTTAATAATAAAAACCATTTATTGAATACCTTTTGTACTTATCGGGGGCCTTACATTCGCACGGAGCCTATAATATGTTCGGAACTGACTGTGTGCTCTTCCAAATACATCCAGTAAAAATAAATTTATAGAGACATCAAGTACTGGATTGGAGGAAAAAGGATCGACTTATAAGAAACATTAGCTTAATATTCAACTTTTTGGCACAACAACGAACATATGATCTTGGACATGTCTAACTGAATCCGTATCAAAAATGATACATATAAATAGAGAAATTTTTTAAAAACAAATCCCAAGAACGAAATTGCAGAAACGCAGGAAAACTAAAAGGGGGTTAATCTGAGTTTTGACAAAATTTGGTATTGATGAGTGCAGAAAACTATACCTGCTGAGCTACAGAGTCTTGTGATGACAACCGCAGATTTAGATTTTCTTCATCCTCTAAGATAGCTCTACTGTAGAAATTGAATATGAAAATGAACAAGATCAAGAGTACAAACAAACGAATAATTGTGAAAGACGATGGCGATGATGGTTTGGCTGGAAACATTTTACAACAGAATGACGGCCTCCCAAAAGAAGACGATGATGAACTTCCTCCACGATTAGTGCCCATTTTCAGTCGCCGCCGACTGAAACAGATCTCTATTGTATCTTAAACTCCAAGTTTATGCATACGCTATGCTCCCTACCACTTCCAATTGGAAGCTATTCGAGGTTTTTTTTTTTTACCAGAACTGCAGAAGGTCCTTCTTCCGACAACAACGATCCATGATTGCATTTTTGCTTAATATTTGCTGAATTTCAGTGGTTTTCTTAATTATTTGTTTATGATTATATTTTCCTTTCAAAAAAATGTATATCTTATATTTGTTTAATATTAATTATTAAATTAATTAGTATAAAACATTAAGGGGCTGTTTGGCAGTTGCTGAATGATTTAGTTCAGAATAGCTAAGAGCTTAGAATGGCTAAGAGGGTCAGAATGGTTAAGTACTGAATGAAACAAAGTTGTTTGGTAATTGTTTTCTGAATGACAGCAAATTACCATTTTAACCCTCAAGAAATACAATCAATTCTAAACATTTTTTTAGAAAAAAAAGATGTTGTTCTTCATATCAAGATCACAAATCCTCAAGAAATTGCAAAATATAGGTAATCCAATCATCATTAACATTGTTACAAACATGAAATTAGCAATAAACACCATCAATTTCCAAAGAAAAATGCTACCCTAAACCAAACCCTAGACAGGAGAGGACGCAGCAGTGACGAGATGCAAACCCTAGACAGGAGAGGCGACGGCGACGGCAATGTGAGGCTGTGGAAGGCGACGAGGCTGTGGAAGGCGACGAGCGGCGACGGCGACGTGAGGCTGTGGAAGGCGACGAGCGACGACGGCGACGGCGACGTGAGGCTGTGGAAGGCGACGAGGCTGTGGAAGGGGGAAATCGCGACCGAGCTTGCTGAGGAAGGCGGCGACCGACGAAGGAGCTTGCTGAGGAAGGCGGCGACCGACGAAGGAGCTTGCTGAGGAAGGCGGCGACCGACGAAGGAGCTTGCTGAGGAAGGTGCGACCGACCGGAGAAAATGGAGGCGACTCACTGGAGAAGATGGAGGCGACTCACCGGAGAAGATGGAGGTGATAACCGGAGAAGATGGAGGCGATAGTTGGGGGAGACGATGGGAGCGGCCAAAGTGGAAGGGTAAAGAGGGAATAATGGTAATCTGAATGGTTTAGTGAACTTCTACCCTCAAAATGGTTAAGAGGCTTGTGTCACCATTAAGAGGGCTTTTTTTTTTGCCAAACATGTTTTACATCTGACCGATTAAGAGGAGACCTCTTAATGTCACCATTAAGAGGAATCCAAACAGCCCCTAACTTAACATGATTAGAAAGATACATTGATTCATAATTAACTAGTGTTATATATGTCTGGTGGCCGAGTGTATGATAATTAATAAATAAAACAAAAAGATATGTTAATCTGGTCATGATAGTCATGGGTAGCCGTGAATAACAAATGATGTCTCGTGATTTTTGGCATTGTGATGGTGTAAAACTATAAATCATCTTTTCTTTTGAGAATCATATATTTTACTAAGCTGGAACAAAATCAACACATATAGACAAAATTAGGATTTTTGATTAAGTGTGACAATGATAGAGACCAATATGACTTTAGTTTACCCTCTAACATGTATGAGAATGATGATACTCTAAAATTTGGTTCATCACTGCGCAACAACGTACAACACAGTTTCCCTTGCCCTGTCAATTCTACAGTTTGGAATCCCTCTTTTCTCCCCCAACCTATCGATCCATATGGTTTCAAACCAAAAAAACCCTTGATTGAGAGAAGAAGCATGTGGAGGATTTCTTGTATCATAGAGCACTCCATTACTTTTTTGGGGTCAAATGATGGATTATATCAACACACAAGCTTTCTGGTACCCATATCTAACCAACTTTTTGAAAGAAAAAAAAGATTCTAAATCACATGATAAACTTCATGATAACCCAAGAATTCTAATGAGGAAGGACCAAGATCACATCGTGTAATGTCTTAAGAATTTCACAGGAACAAAAATTTACTAAAATCACTGTATGAATTATAATCAAAATGAACGAAAGAAGAAAATGATGAAACACCTTTTGCATATTTATGTGAGATAATGCTCGAGCAGTCTTCGACTAAAGAAGAGAGATCAAAGAACAATTTGAGGATATAGTTTTGATACAAGATATGGGTTTAAAATGGTTGGGTGACAAATTTGAAGGGCGTATCGGTTATAAGTAATCCAATTTAGGGAGAGACCATGAAGTCAAGAGAGTGGGGGAGAAAAAATTAGGCTCTTTGGAGGAAATGTGTGTGGTTGAAATGAAGGAGGAATCGAGAGGGAGGAGGAGATGGAGAGAAATAAGGGATCGTGGGAAGGAGGAAGGAGAAATGAGGGGTTTAATTTAAAATTTAAGGGAATGTGTGATAGAACGATTAATATAATGCTTTAAATAGTTGTACATTAATTATCAAAACTTATACTTTTTATTTTTTTTAACAATAATTGTTTAACATGTTTGATAATATACTATAAATAATTATGTAAAATGAAAAATTAGGGAATATAAAACAAATTAAATAAATAACTATAGTGTTTTAAATATCAGTTATAAAAATAATAAACTATGTATTTATAATCTATACTATATTATAAAGCATTTGACAAAAACTTTTAAAAACCATTTTTAATGCATGAAGTACTGTATATTAATGCATATTACTTAAAATTCAATATTACAAGTAAATTATGCATAAGTACAACTTATTAAAACTCCATGTTTGAATTCGTGTAACTAACTGCAAATAAACATAATTAAATAAAAGATAAACATCTCATTTTAAAATATAAAAAATCTATAATATAATTCGGATAATTATTAGGTTCTAACAAAATAAAAATAATTAATTATTATCTTTATAAGAAAATTATATTATTAAACTAAATGTAAATTACTTCGTTATTGAACCTAAATTAAATTATAATAAAAAATTGAATTAAAAAATTAGACAAAAAATGAGGAATTTTAAATAGTTAATTTGATGGTAATACCGATATATTTTTGTCAAATTTTTATGGTATCTTCAAATTTATATTTTATTCAAAAATAAAAACATTATCGCTTTTTCAAAATCACATAAGACCATATTATAACATCGACTGATATATAAAAAATAAAATAAAATATTAAAATCAAGATGTATATCGCTGCATTGTACGAATACACTTCTAGTATTTAATAATATGATTAAATTCAAAAAAAATGATATTGGGCTCATTTTGAGAGTATTGATGACATGATTATAATGATGTATTTTGTATAATAATAAAAAATTATTGTATTGTAGTTCATGTATGGTTATTCAGATAAATGTGTAAAATGAAAAATGAAAAAAAAAAATAATGGATATAAAGTAAATTAAATTATATATAATGGATAAGGTTGGAAAATGAAAATGAAATAATTAAATAAATATAGGGTATAAAACATAAGTTTTGAAAATAATTCACTTATTTATGGTATTTAATAATAGGGTTAAGTCTAAAAACATTCGATATTAAGTTTATTTTGAAGATATTGATGAGACTATAATGATATAATTTGTAAAAAAAATGTATCTTTTAATGTATTCTAGTTTATGTATGATTATTTATGTTAATATGATAAAAAAAAAGTGTAAAAGTGTAAAATGAAAAATGAAAAAGTAAATGATATAAAATAAATTAATAACTAATTATAAGGATATAAAGTGTAATTAAAAAAATTAAAAATAATTTGTCTTGGTATTATCTTGGGACACATGGATCATGTGTGTGAGAAGTTGGTTTTCATATAATCTAATAGAATAAAAATGAATATCTCTTAAAATTTCAAGAATAACCATAACTCTTCCTTTTTATATAATAAAACTTGTACATTTAGCATAAAAAGAATGTCTTTTAAAAATTCAAGAATAATCATAATTCATCCTTTTTATATAACATAGATAGTATAAATAAGGGGTGTAAAATAGAAAATGAAAAATTAATATATTAAAAATAATCTATTAGTTTATGTTATTTAATAATATGATTAAATCCGAAAATATTCAATATTTGACTTATTTTGAAGTTATTGATGAGACGATTATAATGGTATAATTTGTATAAAAACGTATTTTTTAAATATATTTTAGTTAATATATGATTATGTGTGTTAGTATGATAAATGTATAAAATGAAAAGTTAATTAAAAAGGTATAAAGTGTAACTTTAAAATAAAAATAAATCTTATTTTTAAGAGTAAATTACATGATTGATCTATATGGTATACATAAATAACATTGTGCATCCCTAATTTGAAATAATTATGGAAAACGTCAATGTAGTTTACATTTTCACACGTCTTTGGTCCCTTTGCATTAACACCATTAAAAACGTTTAGAAACAAATGATTGTTTTATATTACTATACTAGGTTCGAACCCGTGTATTACACGGGATATTTTGCAAGAATTAAATGAAAGCAGTATGCATTTTATAAAGAATCTATAATAACATGAGTAAATATTAAAAGCTTGTAAAACAAAATTTATAACAAAATGTAGAAGAAATTAGACAAAGGTAAATAGTTAAAATATTAATAGAATAACAACCATGTATCATAGATTACTAAATACTTCTTTATATACAACATTCTTTGTTCCATTGCCAATAATACGATTATCATCTATAATTAATACTTTCATATCTTGTTTGCTTTTAACTCTAGGTAAAGCAACATATAACTGACCATGGGTGAAGACCGGTTGTCTTAGAAATAAACGAACTTTTGATAATGATTGTCCTTGGCTTTTATTTATGGTCATGACAAAACATACAACAACTGGAAATTGTCTCATTCGAAATTTGAATGGAATCCGTTTGTCTGTAAGTGTCAAAGACATTCTTGGAATGAATGTCCGGCTTCCAATATTGCTTCCAGATATAATTTGTGCTTCTATCACTTGATTTCCCAATGATAACACCTGTAGTCTAGTTCCATTACTTAATCCAGATTTCTGATCAATATTCCTTAGTAATATGATAGGAACACCAACTTTTAGTAATATCTTATGGTTTGGTATACCTGATAATTTAAGACCATTTAAGACATCAGGAGAGTACAAAGTTGTATCAAACTGATCGTGAAGTTGCTCTGATTCACATAGCATATATGAACTTAAGTACTCCTTTTCGTCTCCTGGGAACAATGATAGCAAACAATCATTTATGTCTTGAGTATTGCCCTTTCTTGAAAATAAGATGAATTGTTGATGTTTTCAAGAATTGTGGGATAGACAAATTATATTAATGTTGATATAGGATCCATTGAATCAATAATGAGAAGATCATGAGGTATCTCAATAACTGCCTCACCATCATTATCACCTCCAACTTTGCCTTCTCCTAAGTCCAAAATCCAGTTTGCAAAAACCCTTGTTTGTTCAATTTCAGAACATTCACTATTTGCAGTTAGCCTCATGTTCTTAGTTAACCTTAGGACTTTGCATTTTTCCCAAATGTAAGATGAACTTAACGACGCATTAACAATGTCTTGTCTACTTGCGTTGGGAATAACCGACAAAAATTTTCTTTTATATTGCTTTGTAATAGTTAGGTATTTACTGTTTTCTTAGTATAAATAGTGTTTAGTTTCTTAATTGTCATAAAGTTCTGCAATTAATCTGATTAGAGCTGTAATTGTGTTTCAAAATTCTCTCAAGAAATACATTGAAGATTTGGTGAAAAATTCTCTCTACTCTTGTTCTTGATCTTCATCTTGAAGATTGTTTCTAATCTTGTATGATTTGCGCATTTCAATTGGTATCAGAGCTATCTGCAGCAATTTGTTTAGAGGATTAAACAAAATTTTCGAGGATTTTGCATCGAATTTTAGGGGATTTAACGAACTGTTCTTGGTGTTCTTCGAATGTTCTTGGTGTTCTTCAGTCCAGAATCGCATTTTTTTGGCTTGAATCTCATAGATTTGGATCGTTAATTGATATAATTCGTACTACTGAATTCGTAATTACATTCTGAACAACTTTGATTCACATCATTTTCGATTTTAATCAAGATTTGAACCATTTTTGATCGATTTTTGAGTTTTCGAAATCTGTTTGTGTTCTTCAAAAACTCATATTTTTGCAAGTTTTGATCCATTTTTTGGTGAAAAAGTGTTAAAAATTGTGTTTTTGCTTGAATCATAATCCGTATAACTCTTGATCGGTTTAAGTGTAAATTGCTTAAAGCTTGTACTATTTAAGTCTTAGTATATTTTTTGTGAATTGATTGTTTGTGCGATTTAGGTTAAACCGGGTAAGTCTTTTTCGATTTTGAGGTAAATCGCTTGGTACTTGTTCAATTTAGTGACCAATTTAGCTTAATTTGTTTGGTAAATCGTTGATGAGTTGTACGATTTGTTGATAATCCGGTTGTTACTTAAGCAATCTAGTGAGCGATTTAGTCTATGTGTTGTTGATTTATTCATAATCCGGTTATTACCTGAGCAAGATTTAATTTTAGTATTGTGCGATTTAATTGGACTGTTGTATGCATTTAATTGATCGTACTTTGACTTCTTGAACAGTTTGTTGAACGATCTTTGACTTTCCTTTGTGAGCGATTTAGTTCATGTTATGAGCGATTTAGTTCATGTTGTGCGATTTAGTTCGTGTTTTGAGCGATTTAAATTGTTTGAATATTTGAGCGATTTGAATTTGAGCGTATTTTGACTTGTTGACTTAGTTGACTTGACTAGTTGACTTGTTGACTTTTTATGTCCATATTCATTTTCGCAAATTTGACTAAATGTTTGAATTGTCCGATTTGAGATTTCTTATTTGTGTGAAATTTGACCAAGTGTTGGAATTCACCGGATTTCTCATCCGGATTTAGTGTTAATTGTGCGATTTATCTTTCTTTGTTGTCGGGATATCTAATCCGGATAACTTGTTTTGGTTAGAAATTCATGACTATATGTTTTGTCCGGACTTCTAATCCGGATAAGCTTGACCGGATTTCTAATCCGGATAAGTTTGTGTGCTGATTTTTTTAAGTCTTGAATGTGTGCAAATCCTTATGTTCGATTTAATTGATATATAATTTTTGAATCCTAATCCTTTAATTCAAATTTTGAACTGCAGTTCATCCTATATCATACTTATCTGAAAATGAGTTCAAGAGAGGCAATGACTATTGGTATTGAGACCAAGCCACCTGTGCTGTTTAGAGGGGACTATAACCAATGGAGGGATAGATTTCTCAACTTCATTGAGAGAATGAAAGAAGGTGATCTGATCATGGAATCCTTGATGGAAGGTCTTGCTGTATTTGTTGATCCTCTCTCTCATTGATTTGTTGATAATCCCTTTTTCCTTTCGATGTATTTATGTATCTGTAATTTCAGTTCCAGCGATCATACACTGAGCTTGTTCAGTGATC